GTTAGGTTGAGCTCCCTCCAACGAATCTCTATTGAGTTTAGGTCTGGAGACTGGCTAGGTCATGCCAGAACCTTGATATGCTTCTTACAGAGCCACTCCATGGGTATCCTAGCTGTGTGCTTCGGGTCATTGTCATGTTGGAAGACCCAGCTTATTTGGATATTAAAGACCGTTGTTGTTACTAGATGAATGCGGTTAGTTGACTCTCTGAACCATCTATAATCTCACACTATTTAATGTTCTTACATCAGTCAGTGCCTAAATGTAACAACTGTCATCCTTACAAAAAACAAAGTGTAAGGAATTAGTTTCTCAAACATACAAATCACCACACAGTCTGGTTGTTTTTTGACTATTCTTATGTTTCTCTACATCTTCTTGAGGGTTCTTTTTTTCTAACCAGCTTTGAAGGCACCAGTAATCTGAAGACTGAGATTATCTACGTTGAATTATGAGTAAATTGGAAACACTTGAGCTGTACTATGAGAAAGCTGGAGGGGAATAAACATGTCCTGACTCTATTCTGAATGGGTACAGAGGACTGAAACTTTTCCAACATAAATAAGCATATGAATATTCCAGTTTGGATATACCTGTGGTGGATGTCATGTCACTCAATGAGGCAGGTTTGCAAATGTAGACTTCTGGCTCAATGTCTTCCCCTCCCACCAAGAGTTAAACTCTACCACCACTTCCTACTGAATATCAAACAGCAGTGTACCATATTGACCTACAGGAATGGTGGATGGGTGTGGTTCAAGGGGGATGAATGAGGATAATTAGATCTTTACCATCAAAACCCTATCAAGTATCTTTTAAATTGACCTGCCAGAGACTAAATGCAGAGCCAGATTCGTAAATTCTTCTTGTCTAACTGACTGATTATCACACCTTAGTATCCCGTGAAGCATAATTTATTACAAACAACTGAATGTGTGGTCATAAATCTTCTAGATGCTGGTGTTTTTAATCCCAAACAATATATTTTCCTAATTTAGGCAGATGTAGCTTGTGCCCATGTGACATAAATTGTCCTAGAGTATAGAAGCAAAGAACTAGATCTGTATCAGGACTGGTTGAAAACCCATCCTCAAACACGAGCATGACACACAAACAGCCATGACATTTGTATTGCTAAACTGTCTGAAGGGAAATACATATAGATGATTAGTCTATCATGAAGAAACAGAAACATAAAAAGCCTCACATAATAAAGAAATGCAATCTTTAAATTCAATTAAATGTAAAATTAAATAAAAATGCAAATCCCATGTGATTTTAAACATGAATCACTCCCACTATTTAGTAAAATGCACTGAATCTGCATAAACAGACCTTCTGCCTAGCTAGGGATTTGAACCATTTCTCCTTATACCTCGCTCTCTCCTCCGTAAAAAAGGGTCTACCTTCAGTCCCCAACAATAATTCAACTCCTCCTCTCCCCCTCTGTCAGCAATAAATATCAAAGAGAAAGATTAGAGATAATAGGGTTTTCCAGCATCTGAATGGGATGGTAGCTCTGGGACCTGATGATGTCTTCCATCTTTACCTGAAAATCTGTGCTGACCAATTAACCCCTGTCTTCACACACATTTTTACTGTATGTCTGGAGCTGCTTGAGGTTGCAGTGCTACCAACTGCAGCCTGGATGGATAACATTGTAGGCCATCTATTCAGTTTATTTATATAGCGCCAATTTACATCACATCTCAGAGCATTTTACAGTTAAACCAGATCATACAGTAAAAGTGATTCAAAGTTTTCTAGCTAAGGAAAACCAGTTAATTGCATCGACTCATTGACTCGAAGGGATCCCTCACATCCCTCATATACTGTTGTACCAAATTAAATCCCAGTTGTAATTTTCATCAAAGTTAGTAACTTTGGTGAAAATTGTTCTTGGAACTGAAAAGTTCATAGAAGCAGAAGAAGTGTAAAAAAGTAAATTAAAAAACATGGCCTACTGTCACGCCTCAGAACAGAGGACCCAGTATTCAGGCAAGGCAAATCGTGGAATTACTCAAAAAGCATTTATTAAGAAACTGGCGGAGCAGATTATCCGCAGCTAGGGAGTCTATCACCCTTGGTTTGCAAGTTTAGTCCAAGTCCAGAGGACGAGGTGGGATCCAACTGGTGGACTGCCAACAAGACGTGGCAGGCGCCACCAGGGTTCCAGATGCTGCAGGCCCAGAGAACAAGCCAGAGTCCGAAGCCAGGTCAGACAAACAGATCGGACAGGAACAGGCAGGCTCAGTGTTTGACCAGCAGGTCAGGATCAGGTAATCAGAAACACATCAGATGAGAGGTAATAAAAAACCGGGCAGAAATAGAAAGGTGAATGAAATGAGTAATTAGACCAGTCATCAGTACCAAGATCATGACCACTACAGCAGGAGAAATGATAAGTAAGATAAAGAGAGAACCCTTTTGACCTCCACTGAGGATTCTAGTGACATACGGAGGAGCCCAGGCTAACAGTCCCAATGTAAAAGATGGTAGAGGAGACACACTTAGCAGGAGATAGCCTACATTAAATTTAACAGCTACAAACTTCAATAGATAGAAGAGAATAGATGCCAAGACCCTCTGTCACCCACATTACTGCCCTCTAATGAATGGTGGAAGAAGTTTTGGTAAACTTATTTCAGATGTAACCAATCACCAAGACGCCTGATGTGGTGACAACTTGGCACAGATGCAGATTAGGGAAAGATTGTAAAAATGATTGAATAGTGTTGTTCAGGATAGATTTAACATCAAATACAACTTACAAAAGTTTGACATATTTTGATTAAATTCCAAAGTGCACCATAAGCTTTCAGGCCAACCGTTTCTAACTTCTGAATTCAACTGACTAAATGTGATTCTGTACCTACTGGCAATGAAGCTTAGAACATCACATAGCATCAATAGAAAGTTCTAGCAATGTTACAGAGAGACCAGACAGGTCTCTGAGTTTTCAACACAGTCCAAGCTCATGGCTGATTTTTTGGAAACCTGAAATATTACATGAGATTATACAAGTGCTTGTATCAGCACAATCCGACTGACAGATGATCAGTAGATCTACCTGATCACAGGTGGCAGTGTCTCGAATGGGACAGAGCATCACTTTTGGATGAGAAACCATGGGTTGTGCAGACGTTAAAAGGACTCTGCATCAGCTACCGTTGTCACCAGGTGAGCTTTTTGATGTGGCAGTGTTACTGACTGTCCAGTCAATACAGAATTGTGCTACATCTTCTAAATAGTAATGTGAAAAGCCCATATACAATTAATAACATGAATCTAATATTGCGGCACTGTGGAAACATAGGCCTAGTTTTAGTATTCATAAAGAAACAAGAAAACAAACCCTCAGGTCTTTGGTGGTTGTATTATCAAAGGATGGTTTGCGTGGGCTATGGTACTTATCCTGTATGTTCTGCAGACTTGAATCCCATTGAAAAGCTCAGGCATTAATGGTCTTAAACCAGAATTTCAACAACTAGAGGGCACCATTAAGAAGAGTGGGTTGCTGTGCGAAACAAGCTCTACACAAACTTTTTATATTTTCCTTGAGTGTCACTGCAAGTTATTGAAAATATGTTGAATAACTTGAAATCAAATAAAGAATGGCAGATCTAGATTGCTAAGTTGTTACATTTCTACATTCTTTCCATTTTGCTTGGAGATAATTTATAAACCCTATAATTAAAACATTTCATGTGTAATAGAAAGCACATGCTTACAGAGACTCTAAAGTTTCTTAGCACTAAATGAGGTCTAATCTTGTACTACATCATTCAGGTTGACCTAACTTATTTCTGAAAAAATAATCCATTTTACATTTATCACTTTCATCAAATTTACAAGTTTGCATTACTTTTGATGAACATTTAAATGTCTAAAATTAAATAAATTAGCTTAAAGGAGCCTATTCCTTCTGAAGACACATGGGGGCCCTATAGAATTCTCATCTCCTCGAACAGTCGTTTCCCTTCATGGGTCCCCCCCTCCCCCATGAAGAAGATCTAATGGCAAAGGCAGAACCCTCTATAGAAACCAATGAAGTGCACCCAAAAATGATAAAAATAAAAAAAAGGTGCACCCACTAGTCTTGGAATGTCTTGAGATTTCTAACCTTATTTAACCGAAAAGGAGTAAAACACCAAAAATTGAAAAATATTTCCTGTAGTCGATTTTTTAATATTCTATATTCAGAAACCTTGTATGAAATTATAAAGACAGGTTATGAAAACTGTCTGGATATTGAGTACCACCATTGAGAACCATTTCATGTTTAAAATGTATAGTCACCAAAAAACAGACATATGGTTAGGATGAACCTGACATGAAAAACCTTTTTTTTTTTTTTTAAATCAAAAGTGAATACTAGCTCTTTTAAGTATATTATTATTACAAGGATTTAGTAAGAAAATGTAAACTTGGAAGTGGAACACTACTAATATAAAATATTATGCAACCAGCAGGTGGCAGCAAATCCTAACTTTTTACAGCATACCACTGTTAAACAGCTCAGCATTTCAGTACCAAAACTATGTTAAAATATGACCACTCATGACCAAAGATATGGTTAAATAAAGCTGTTTATTTAGACATCAGTTAATAAAAAATAAAATTAAACTTTACAAAAAATTCTTTAAAATCAAAGAGCTCTAGAACTCAAATCTTTGTCGATTCACCTCGACTTAGAAAAATAGTAAAGGCACTGTGCATTAGTCTGCTGCATATATATAAATATAAAACATCCAAACCAAAAGGAAAGTAAGCCTCTCAAATCTGCTCTCTGTACGACTGTTAAACTGCGACGCACCTACGCCCATAAAACGGAGCGAGAGTTAAAGGACAAATGGAAAAAAAAAAATATTGAATGAAATTCACACACTGAGAAATAAACAGAGCAGGATGTGCTGTACAGTTCCCGATCAAATTTATCATATAATCTTCTGGCCTAATTTTAATTTTAAATTTTTTTTTTTTTTTGCAAACATCTCATCATCAGCAACAGAACATAGTGACGGTAGAACAAACGATTAATGGGAACTTTCCTGAACATAAAAAAAGAAAGAGAACTCGGGCAACTGCACATTAACACTACAATGGGAGTAGTGAAATAAAAGAGACAAAACAAGGAGAAACATGATATATATCTGTGTGATTTGTTATTTGAATCTCTTGTTTGTTAAAGTGGCTTAATGTGACGCATTCTTCATCGGTATAATTCCTCCAAACCTACAAAGTACTAAAGACGTTTTGTACCCTTAGCTCTCTAATGTGCGATAAAGACAAGCCTTTCTTTCTGCAATCTCTTTGGCATTCTGTTTTGTTACACACACTTTGAGGAGATCCACACATTCCAAAGAAAGAGTCAGTGTAGCAGTCAATCCATTCGGCATCCAGTCACAGGAACAATGTTTGATCATAGGAAACCATGCTCATCCAGAAATTTGGGAGTAACTGGGTTCCACTTTGCAATAGTCTTAGCAGTAGATTGGCCTGCAAAAAAAGAAAAGTTAATCATTTTAAGCAATTGTAAGTAATACATGTCATTTATATGGCATATTTTTGAAAGAAAAATCCTCTAGTGCCTTACAAAGCCACCATAAAAATATATTTTTTCATCTTTAACAGCAAAATGCAGTTCAAGAAGAAATTTGTCTTTCCTTTTGCTTTTGTTAGAAAGAAGGCTCGAGTGTAGACAATTTTTTCCATACCTGCTTCTGTTCTGCTTCTGGAGGTTTCTGTGGGCTGAATGTGAGCATTTGTAAAACTGTGACCCATTCCTTCTGCATCACTCTCCCCTGATGAGGATGGGTCGTCTGCTCTCCTGTAGACACCTGGTTTCTTGTGGTATTTGGCCCGGTAAGTGTCTGTCATGCAGCTGTCCACGGAGAAGAAAGTGGTTGGGAGGACCATATCTGTCAGGGAGGAGGACAGGGAGTCTGTACCGTCATCTGGTTGGGGTTTAGGACTTGGTAGTCTGTCCTCGTTCTCGCTGGCTGAAAGATCGTTCCTCTCCTGGTCTGAAGAGCCTGACTTAGAGCTGGCATCAGAGGAAAGCCTGTGCTCAGTGGGTGTCTCGATCCAACGCCGGAGGACAGACAGAGCGTTTTTGGGCTGGCTGCGGGGAGAGATGCCAGACAGGCCGGGTTTTGGGGGTAGAGGTGGATGATAGCTGTGTGACAAAGAGTATGTTTGACTGGACTCTTCTTGCTCAGAGAGAGGTCCAGCAAGATCATCAGAGCTGTTCCACTCAGAACTGCTGGTTTTCAAGGAGTAAGGAGGGATGGGGCTCGCAGGGCTGCCATCCAGATTTTCTTCTTGCTCACTATCCAGGCCATTGTTCTTTTCCAGGATTCCAGGGGTGTATCTGAAGGCTCTTTTTCTTTGTAATTGAAAAAAAAAAAATGAAAAAAAATGGCATTAGTACCGAAATTGTCAAAAGCACCCTTTTTTTCGTATTACACCATGGAATTATAAGAAATGTCTGCTACCTCTGCATGGGTTGACCACTGAGGATGTTGACATCTTTCAGTTCTGGAGATTTCCTTCCTTGCTCTGCTGAACAGAAAAAAAAAGCAAAACAGGTACTGTGATTGCGTTTTGTTTGTATGTGATTTTCTTTCTGTCTGTCAGCAAAGACATGTTATCTAACAGGGGTCATGGGGAGGCCTGTTCTGCCTGGTGCCGGGAGAGGAAGTATCAAACCAGCCAGTCTGGCAGAGCGCCCCCAGGCCCCCTGTGTACCAATCTGACTGTCTGATGCAGCCAAAGTACACGGCCATTCAAAGGGGGGGATGTGAGTTAATGTGCAGACCCAGTCAGCTCAGAACTACAAGTTCTAAAGGCACGGCAATGACCTAGAATGAACTCAAACGGAAACTAAAAGAGAAACAAATAAAGGGGAAATGACTCTAAATAATATTCTTAGGGCCATTTAAGTAATCTTGAGCTGAATTGTTACCCCCACAACCTGTCACATTTTTTCACATCATAACTACAAACATCAACAGGGAATTAGTATTTAACCTTGCCAATTCAACACTTTATAGAAGCCACCATTATCTGCAGTTAGTTTTTTAATTTTTATTTTTTTTTATAATGTAAACTTAAATGTATAGAAGGCAATCTTTTATTTCCGGGTGGATCTTCTAAATAAGTGGTCCTCCTAATTGTCAATCATTCTGGGGATAGTTTTACGCAAGGCCATCCTCATGCTCGTCCAGTTAGCTATCTTTTTCTGAGCATGCGCACTTTCAGCTGCATATCTGTGGTGAGCTACGGTTTCAGACAGTCCTTGAAGCTCACCTTCCTCACTACGGTTCTTTTAAAATGGCAGAGGTCGTAAGAGAAAAACTTTCTATAAAGTGTATGAGGAGAAAAGAAAGGCCTCAGAAGAGGCAGATATATCCCAGAATGTTTTGTGCAGAGAGCTCTCCTCGCAAAGCATTCTGGGATTTGCTGTCACAGCGGCCTGTTGTCGCTACCCGACAGTGGTGCCTAATAAAGATGGCGCAGTTACAGCACAGTGAAGGAAGAGTTACGTGACCAACAGAACAAAAAGCAGTGATCATTGTCCAAACGGTCAGTTAACTGAGTTTGCTATATAGTCCCCGCTGTACGTGGACACAGTAAGCATGTATGAGCTATGAGAACAGCACGTTTTAAACAGGGCGTGCACGGGGATAAATGGGCTCATTCATGCTCTTGAACGCGCATTTCTTTTTTTTTTTTTTAAGTGAAAAGGGCAGGTCTCTTAAAAAAAATCCGCCACAATACCTTTAAGTTGGGTTGGCAAGATGATGGCTGCTAACATTAGTTTTTAAGTCTTGCCATAGTTGTTGGACCTAATTTTAGTTTGGACTTTGGCCAAGCCATTCTAAACGTTTCTTTTTTGTAATTCACTTTTTATTGGTTTTTACGCATATATAAATTAAACAAAGACAAACACTGAACATCCACAAGTGAACAGGGGAGACTTCTTACTGTAGAATTTCTAAGTAAGCCCCCCAAATTTTCATAAAGACATCCTCTTTATCTATCATTCTATAGCATAACTTTTCATAAGAGGCAATCTTGGACATCTTATTAAACCATTCCACCATTGATATGGTACTTGTGTTTTCCAATTGCGTAATATTATCCTGCATCCAACCATTAGAGCTGTTCGGCACCAATTCTAAACATGTTTCGATCATTAAACCCCCACACATCTTCTCATGGAGTCAAACCTAGTTTTCTTTCTCTGCAGATAAATAGCATCACCCACCGACATGATGTCACTAACCTAATGTTAGATGATGACCTAATCTGATAAAAGCTGTGGTGTGTAAAAGTGAGGAAATGAAGTAGATAATGTGGAACATTAAGTTCTGACATGAAGTGTGTCTTTTTTTTCTGCAAACACATGACCCCATTTAAAGAGACATAATAAGAATTAATACCTTTCTTTTCACTTTATATTCATATAGAATTCTGAACGGTAGAAAAATTCCCCCCAAATCCATAATGAGGGTCAAAACCTCAAAAAAGCTAAAAAGTTATAGCATGGCTGGTGTGGTTTAAAGGGACGCAGACAGACAACAGCTGACTAGCAGAACCAGCAGGAATGAGTGACTAAGGACCATCTGTAATGTGTCAGCATCCCCTCCCTCTGTTTCTGCTCGCTCTCTGTCCAAAGCATTAGTGCCCAAATCCTTTGTGCTGGCATGCAATTACACTGGGGTCAGACTCGTAGACTTTAGATCCCCTACACAACACTATTGCATTTTTAAGCCACTAAGTCCATGCAGACATTTTACAATTTGATGCCCCTGATCTGCAGTGTTGAAATGCTCCCGTAACAATATGATTTTCAACAAAGAGGGATGAAGCGGGTGGATGTGTTCCCTTTGGAAAATCCCCATGTCATCATGATCACATCCACCTTTCACACTGAAATGCTTGCAGGAAATATAACAGCTTATCCTGCACTGGAAACCATCCAAGACTGTTAATATGAAAGCTTATTTACTACAAAGATCTTTAAATCAAACATTGGACAGCTGTATTGATTTGAAGCAGTTCCTGACATCAAAGTAGAAAAAACTCATTTTATTCTCATGTTATTGCAGCTCAAACAGTAGGCACCAGTGAAACAGATGTATTCTGAATGTCCTGCTGGGAGACCTTCTCTGTGCTCCGATTTCATGGATTAAGCTGTGCCTCTGGAGCAATTAGGACCTAAAACTGCAGCAAGCTGTGTGCCATAAGATTCCTCCCAACCAAACATTCCTGTTATCGCTGGGAAGCATCATACCAAGTCTTCTCCATATATTTCTTCAGTTTTTTTTTTTTTATAGAGATGGACCCTTCAAGTACAAAGGGAGAAGAATCCTTTTATAAAGCCCTTAACTCCAGGTTTTTAGTTTATTGAAATATATATATAATTTTTTCTTAAAGTCCAAAAAAAGTTTCATAACTGACAGACTATAAAATATCTGGTCAATAGTTATAACTAGGGTTGGATATGTGTAGTTAAAATGTAAACTGACAGTTGCCCTCCCGTTTAAATGCACTACCAGAGGGGATTTTAGACTTTAATGGACTTCTGGAATGTCCTGGTGTGACTCTTAAAAAAAAAAAAAAAATGCTGCCCCTGTTGTTGAACTCCAGCCAAAATTGACTCTGGACACATTTACTGCAGCTTGTCATTTCAATTTGCAGGCTAACAGGGTGTAAATACTCCAGATCTTAAAGGTCCCTTTGCAGTAAAATTTTAAGCCAGATTTAGCTTTAGCAGTTAATATTTTAAGACCTAATGTCAGACATCTAAAGGATTCCTTCTTAAACGTTGTAAGACTGAATAGAAAGAATTTAAGCTGGGTGAGTTTTAGAAGTAATATCTTATCTTTAGTTCAATCAATATAGGTGTGAATAAAGCATAAATGGTAACAAAATCTTTTAGTTAAAACAAAAAAAAATGTAGTCATGGTGAAAACAGTAAAACTCCATAGTTAAGCTGTTCTCGCAACAATCATTTTAGGTAATGTTGTATGGGGTCCAAAGGGCCCCATAGAGCATTACACTACACTACACTACTACATTTAGGGGTGGACAAAAATACAATACATCAGTATATGTTCCTATATATCTTTATTTAATAACAGTGATGACTTTTAAACAGATTTCAAGTATTTTAATTTATGTTACCATCAATAATTCCATTGTTTGCAACACACTGCATGCAATCAATGACGTTCACTGCAGACTGGCAGCCTGTGGCTGCAGCTGTAGGCTTGGCTCAGTGGTACGCTAAGTTATAACTGCTTTGGGTACAGAATGAGTGACCATAATAAAGTCCCTGCTTTGCATGACCTGTACCAAGCATAAGCTGGGTACACATTTGTACAACAGACCCACGACATCACCCCTGCATGAATACCTTTAACTGATTAGATGTGTTTGGTTTTCAGACATAGCCCTGAACATCATAATGCATCTCTGAATTGGTCTCATCTTTTTTCAATTTATACGCAAGACTTTGCTTTAAAATCAAAGATGCGCTGCTTATGCTTCGATTAATTTTCCACTCATTTTGTTCATTTCTGAAATTAAAATTAGCTGCAAATCTAAAGCTTGATTGGTTTTAGTTTGGTATTATATATAAAATGTACTGCAGTTTTTGTGATACACAAAACACACACAACAAAGTTTGTTTTGAATGGAAACTTCTGTAGAGGTAACTGCTGTACATTTTTCTGAGTTCTGTTTAAACACCACGCTCTAGCAGGTAAACTGATATTTTCTGCTTGGTAGGGCACAGCTGGGTAGCTTTTACAAGCTCACTCATCGCCAGCTCTTACCTTCAGGATTAATTCAGAGCAGCCCTGTTAAGAAATTTTAATGAGGGACTTTTTTTTCTTGTTTTTTGGCTAATCTAAGAGATAATTATTTGTCTTGTGTTGTGCTGTGAATGCATGTATGCAGCATATATGTGCTGGAGGTAAAACAGTTGTTGATGTCTAATCCCGCACCCAAACTAAGTAATAAAATACAAACATCCCTGCAGCAAGATTCATACAAGATCAAGATTTTTTATTTATTTATTAATAATTAGCTATGATTTTTCAAATTCGTTCAAAGATCAGACTTCCTTTAAGTCAAAGTTAAAAACCCATTTTAAAATGTGCTAACTGGGGTATTAGCTTAAGGTTGTGAGCCAATTGCTTTACTTGATTTATTTTTTTACTTGCATTTACTCTTCTTTTTTGTGGTCCAATTGTTTTACAATTTTTTTTTGCTTTCATTTTTCTTCTATTTCATTATCTAATTCAAGTAAAGTCCTTTAAATTGTCCATGTACTGAATGGTATTATACAAATTAAATTGCCTTATCTTGCGGATCTAGAAAATGAACCAGCAATCTGTTAGAAGAAGACATTATTCACAGCATACTGTGAATTAAAATAAAAGCTAAATGCTCATATCTGACTGCAAGTTCACTAAAAAAATAATGCAACTGCTTTTAGCATTTACTTAATCATATTTAGTTACTTTAACGCGATTGTTTTATGTCCTACCCTGCTAACAGGAAACAAGTGTGTTATAGCAACTAAATATGTTTAAGTAAATGCCAAAAAGAGTTGCATTATTTTTTTAAAGGAGAAGTTCACTTTTTAACACTTTAAGCCCATTTTCTGTAGTGTCCAGGATGAAATCGAATGATCGACACCAAAATTTTGACAATTGGTCCTGTCTCTGCTTTTTGGCTCAT